GTCTACTCCTCTAACCAGAGTGTTTTTAATGCTGCAGTTCCTTGACACTATCGGGAAATGCCATCAGAGACCTAATAAAAAGAGAGATCTCTGGTGAGGCAGCTTTGATAGAATGGATGTTTCCCACTATTGACTTCAAAGGAAAGAAAGTAAGGCTAATATTATTGTTGGTTTTTTAAAGCACTCCTTTGGCATCAGTGCATGACACCCTCCATTCCAAAAGCTGAAAATACTTTCCAGACTTCCACAACATTCCCTCGAGTCAAGCATGGAAACTTATTATTTAGGTGAAGTAGCTCAAAAGCATGTAAGCTGGTGTATGCAGACCTATTTTCCCTGCAGATGCAGGATTGTCCCTGAGACTCATCTGTAGATGCAGCCTGTAGAGATCTCATTACTCACCATGCATTGCTAGACACATGCTCCCCACTGACCACAGACAGCCTAATACTTGCCATCTACTGAGAACAGAAATTCCGCATTGGTTTCCGTAGCAGCAGAAGCAATAATACTAATCTGCTCAATAGGCCCCTTTCTCCTGTAAACGTAATAACCAGGTTGCTGCCCCTGAAGTCTTACAAATGTAGCTGAGCCTTCTGATGAAAGTTTTCACAGGTTTATGACATGTCAAACCACCTGTGTCAGAGATGTACCCCAAAAATAACAGAAAGTTCAGCCAGACCGCTATCTTTTGCGTAATCTGTACAAAAATCTGTTTCATACATAAATTGCAAATGGTTAGTTTGTGTGATGCAGAGATTTGAACACCAGATCTGCGCTGGAATGCTGGAATTGCCTAAAGATGCCTTTAGGCAAGTTACTTATCTTCTCTATGTCTCAGTTTTCCCATGTTTAATGCAGTACCTATAGTGTCTCACCCTTAGGGATTCAAAAGAACTGACTACAAACAGCACAGGTGCTGAATTTCACTGTGGACAATACAGCACCCAAATCATTGCAGCAAGACTATTCCCAAACTGAACATGTTGCATATATATAAGAAAAAAAGATTCTGCTTCAAAGTCCTAACTATCTAGGTAAGCACAAAATGTGACAGACAGGTCTAGAACATACTCAGGAGGCATTTGTTTCTTTGAAATACATGAACTAGAGACATTAACGATGGCTATTAGCACTGTCCAGCTCCTTTCATAGGTATCACAGACGTTATGATACTCAGTTTCTAGAAACACTAACTGCGTATGTAGAAATTACCTAAAGATAAAAATATTTACCTTGATCATGTCTGTGGAGGCCTGCAACATAGGTTCCCTGAGCACATATGCATGCAGTGATGGGAACTTAATTTTCTACTCTTTATGAAGCCACAAGAGTGCATGAGGGTAAACTAATAAGCCAAGTATGGATTTGTCCAAATCAAACAATTCTAGACAACTAAATGAGCAGCTCTGTATTTACATTTGCAAGCAGAGGCTTAAACTAAGGATGCAATATCTGGAGATCAGCAGGGTTCTACTCACCAAAGTACTGGAATAACTGAAAGACAGCAAAAGACGCAGCTATGATAATTTTTTTTTTTTTTTTAAATAAAAACCATTTAAGCTTCCTAATTTTTGCTGTCTCAGACAATCAAAATTCCAATTGTCTGGGACATCAAATCTCAAAAAGCATGAAATTAATCTTCAGAAGTTAAAGTCTTAAAGGCATTGCATCATTATTTTTGTTGGATATATTTTTGATTATAATGCAGATGAACCCCAAATTTAATAAAACTAAAATAACATGAGTTAAGTATGAAACATAACAGGATATTGCAAAGAGATTAGGTAGTTTCCTTTAGACTACTTGCAGAGCCCAAGGAAAAACCAAACTGAGGGACACAATGACGAGAAGGCACCGCTTAATTAGAGTATTTAACAGAATATGAAAACAGAATACTCATAGTACTGGTTTTGGCAATGAAACACAGTGAGCAGAATATGGACCTGAAACATCAGTAGTTCTCTACACCAGATACTGTTTTGCCTGTCGACTGTCTGTAGTAAAGAAAGAAGCAGGCTAGCTAAATTTAAACCAGCTGTAACGATGAGAGTGTTACAGTTGGACCGAAGGAAGCTTACCTCATGAAAGTATTGTGGAAACTGCTGTTGGAAAGATAATAAAAGGATTAACTGCAGTTTTAGTGAACCATTTACTTTTCAATCAAAATGTCTCATGTATTTCCTGTTCTCAAGTAGCCTGAATTCCAAAATTCCTTTGTCTATTACAGTACATAGTAGCAAAGCCTGTCATAAGAAATTAATAATTTTACATGGAAAAGTACTTTTATCTATGAGGGCGGGGTGCTGCTCACTGTTAGCTTCTCCTGAGCAGTTCAATACCTAGTCAGCCAGTAATCTTACAGAGAGGAACAAAATCAAGGCCCTTAAAAAGAAAGTACAATGGGTAATTGTGAACAGTGAAAGAAAATCTCCACTACAAATACCAAGAGATGTAAAGTTACTTTAACAGGGCTACAGCAAAACTGAAACAAAATCTCAGACCTCTATAGACAGAGAATGAATTGCCTTCTTAATTTGCAGGAATAACAGCACAATTATTACCACATCAAAAGAAAAGCCATCATTTAAAATGACATGACATCACTGCACAATGAAATGCTGCGCAGCAACCCTTGTTTAAAGTGGAATGGAATTCGCTGGGCAAATAATGCCCACTTGATATTAATAACTTCAAGGAGCCATGTTGCAGCTTGGATCTCGTTCCTGCTAGATTAAGGTCTTTCCACGGTAGAAAATTAAATTTACAAAGAAGACATATTTTTCCTGTGCTCACTTGCATCCAGCTTTACTTCCCACAAGATTTCACGTTGTAACATTTAATACAAGGATACTTCTGCTGACAGTGGAAGGCTCTTATTCCGGGAATAGAAGAGTTAACTGCAAGTTATGCAATGTAAAGCCCCTCATTCTGATTGGGACATTCCATGTACGGGAACAACTATGATATCTGCTCAAATAAAACAGATCTTTATGTACTTACATGCCAAGGCTACACACTTGTGCCATGAAGGCTGTCTGAAATACCAGATGCAAAGGTTTTTCCAACCTATTCACAGTGTTAAACCTTGAGATGTTATCAAAAGCCAGTTCTTTAATGCAGAAGACAATAATTGAAGTAGGACATTTTCAGCATTTGCTAAGATATTACATGATTTAACATCTCTGGTTTATCCAGTTTCCTGTAGGAATGGGAATGTAACATTAGAAATCTGCTATACAATACCTGTCAAATATGCATTTTGCAGAAAAAGACAAAAGTTCTCTCACCCACGGAGTCTACTGAATCTTTCAGCATCATAGTAAAGCTAATCAGGGTTTCATGTTTTAAGTATTTCTTTTAAAAAGTGTGAGATAAAAGTGGGAAGAACACTGATCTCATTCCAGGTTATAAAACCACTAAAAAGTAGGCTAAAATAAAACCTGTAAGTATGCTTTCACAGCTTGCTTATTTATACTTCTGTTTGGAAAGAAGCGACTAACTAGCATTATCCTTTGATGATTTATGGCCAAATAAAAGATATGCATAGGAAGTTAAATTCCTTTGTACTTTTACAAATTGTGATTGAACTACTTCTGGAAGTGAGTAAGTCAGTTCTTTCTCTCAAAGGAAAAAGAAACAGGTGAGTCTTACAGCGTTTCCATTTTATTTTGGACAAATTGATGGTGTTCTCTAAATATCTGCATTGTTTCCAGTATTATTTTAGGGAATAGCCACTGAACAGTGCAGACATTAAGATAACATTCTTCATTTATCCAATGGAAGTAAAAAGACAATCAGGATGACCACTTACAGAGAAAACTTTTCTCTGTAAAACATTTTGTTTTCCTCCTTCTCCTTTCCATGACCACTGCAGGCCAGCAAGCTTTTTCTTGAAGAAATGAAAAAAGGTAAGCTTTTTATATAAACATTCTTTCCTGTTCCTCCATGAAAGCTACAGCTTGCCATGGAAAAGTTTGTCTTGATCGAACTTCCTTACAAGCATTTTCCACTATATCATTCTCCAATCAAAACAATAAAATAGACACATGGTAAAAAATTCTGCCTATCAAGAACCACAACCTGCTGCCATAACCATTCCCTTTGTTTGTCCTTATATGTGTGTGTGTGTGTGTGTGTGCGCGTGCATATACACGCGTGCGTGTGTGGATGTTACAAGGCTTTCCAAATTTCACGGCCCAATTTGGAAGCTTATGTCAAACTTGTTTGGCTGCATCTGTTTCAGTCAGGGTCTTATATCATTGTTGTTTCAAACATGTGGAAAGCTTAATGGAAGTCATTAACTTTTATTTTAGTTTGGCCATATTGTCATCATGGTGGGCAGATGCAGAGATGGTGTTATTCCCAAGATCCTCTTTTTGGAACACTGATGTTGTTTACATCTTCTTGATCAGAAGAGAACAATGGGGTTTACTTATTTTTAAAGCTCTGTTTTGCAAATTAAAAAAGCCCCTAACAACCTTTGAAAATGTAATTAAAGATATTTCTTTTATTCTTTTAATTGTTTAAAATCCTTTAACAAGTTTCTTTTTCTTTTCTAAACTACCATTTGAAACTTTTGCACTCACAACTCTATGGGTTATTGTTCAGTTGAAGGAATGAAAAGAATTTCATTAGATGTATTTTATGTTTCTTGATTAAAAATGTCACCCGAGGCTCAGTGACTGTTTTATGTTAAATAACTGCTGCGTGCTTTGATCATCACTTTATTAATGCTTTAATGAATATTAAAAAAAAATAAAGCACTGTATTAAAAGTTAAGCTGTCATATAAGGAAACCGAATCCCTTTTCCAAGAACTACAGTATTTCTTACTCAAACATTTCCTTCTAGATTAAGGTTTTCTCCAACTCCCCTTTAGCCTGCTGCAGACTAAGTTACAGGAAAGCACAACAATTATATTGGAATAAGATTGAAGAGAGAGCGAGAAAAAGAGCAGAGCAGCATGTTTCTATTCAAACAAATATATTCCAGACTTACCATGCACTTGTTTGGTTTTTCTCCAGAATGAACCCTCATATGAATCAGCAGTTTGTAACGAGCATTGAAGGGTTTATATCGGCGGACACAGCCTGCCCAAAAGCAAGTGAAGTCCTCTCCTTTCCGCTGGTCAATGTGAGTCTTTTCTATGTGTCTGACCAGTTCATCTTGTTGGTCGTAAGTGGCACTGCAGTCAATCCACTGACAGACCTGTTTGCCATTGCTGAGGTCCTGTTCATCCCCGTCGCTGGGCTGAAGGGACTTGGGAGACATAGAGGTGTGTAAGTGAGGCAGTGTCCCTTGAGTCTGGCTTAGTTGCTGGTGTAGATGGTAAGGGGGAGGCAGCCCCTGATGATGTCGAAAAAGATCAGCAGTGGAAGAATAATCGTCAGATGGTTCTTGTTTTAAGAAACTCACCTTCTGGGTGCTGTGTGAGGTGTTTTGATGAGGAATGCTAGTACCATTCATCATGAGGCTAAGGCTTCCATTCTCCTCGACTTGCTGCATTTGTATCTGCTCACAGTCACCTCTGTCACATTCAGTGGAAAGAGGTACAAGACATGCTGGAGGGGAGGGAATACTGCAAGGGTTCCCAGGCTGAGAGCAAGACTGGGGACGAGAGGATTTTTGAGCACTGTGATGACTGATCTCCACAGGATGAGAGGAAATGCCAGCTGAATTAGTTCGCAGTCCATTCACACAGGTGACCAGTGACGTCTGTGATGTGCGGATGATAGCTGTAATATCAATTCCTTCAGCTGAAGACGGCACAACAGAGATGCATCTCTTCTTCAGGTTGCTTGTTTGTAGCCTGGCCGAGTGCTGAGGGGTGCCAAGTGACAAAGAACCCAGGGAGGAGCTATGTTCATTATTAAACAAGTAGGATGAAAGTGAATTTGTGAAGCTATTATTCATTAGGTCTATTTCAGGATGCAGACTACCGGAGGCTCTCAGCTCCATCCCCTCTGTAATCCTCCTATGTGTGGAAGCCTCAGACAGAACCTTGTAATCACTCGGGCATTCTTGTTTAATGTGCTGAGCCGGGTGACTTCCATTCAGGCATGGAGCAGCAGAATCTACTGAATCTTGAAACCTGGGTGACCTGCAAGATAGTTTTCATTAAGCATCACTAACTACCACAGGATTTATGATTTTTGTACAAGACACAACACCTGTTAAGCCCTGGAGAATGGAAGCACTTGCTTTCTGCTGAATGTTGCCTGTCTAATGCAGCAATTACACCAAAAAAATCTGCAACGCTTCCTCTATAACCCTTGTAAAGGCAGCATCGTTTTACACAGGATTAATTTTACACACTGGGTTACAGACAGAACAGACAATCTCACCTCCACTGCTATGAGCAGTTCATCAATCACAATCTAGGTTTTCAATGCATAATAGATCAGGCAAAACAATAGCTGAGAATGAAGTTCAAGAGCTTTGGACATTTTTGAATTATTCAAATATCGGTGTTTTCCTCAGTGCACAAGAATCAAAAAAGGCTAGCTGAGCTTTGCTTACATGTCAGAGAGATGCTTTCCCTTGCTAAATTAAAAAAGGAGCAAGAACAGTGGGGAAAAAGGAACACAAAGAAAGGACGGCTCACTTGCAACCAGTGGTCCCGAGTCAATGACAGATCAGCTGAGTATTTACTTCTGAGAGGTCTACAAAAGATAACTAAGAAAAGTTCACAACCGGTAGATTTAAACTGGCAGTCTATGTAGTCCGATTTCCATTTTTCACATTAAATTCTACATGGGTCTGCAAATCAAAAGAAGATTGTTCTGCAGAAGTGATTTTTAATCTTTTTTGATGTGTGCTGAATCCAATCACTCAGGAAGCAGAACACTGAGGAACGCCACATAGACATTTCAGAAAAACACTGCATTTAGGAAATATTTGCTCCTAGCGTTTTCTTCCAACCAGTTAGCAATTGGTTTATGCCTTAAAATAAAACATTTTATCTCAGCTATAAACGTTTACTGTGGATGACCCAACTGTGTGTTTTTTCTTAGGACCAGAGGGTGTTCCTTACATATCCCTAAAGCATGGGAGGGTTTAACCTACGGCTTCATCATGCAGTGATGTGCCAGACCAAGAAGAGGAATCTGTGTGCAGGAAAGCTATACCTGAAGTAATAAACCCTCCAGAGAGGTGCTCCATGGCTCTTACACTGACGAGTTCCACTTAAATGAATTTTATGCTTTTCTGATGCTAGCACCTCAAAAGCTGAAGAAAACCTGGCCATTTGGCAACTTGTGTGTGACATCGGAGCTAAGACAAATCTGACACATTTTAAAGCATGAAACATATATGCATAAGGTATTTTGGACACATACATGCATTACACTGCTGAATAACCTGCATTTATTTTACAACTTAGATGATTTTATGACTATTATTTCCATTAATCCACCACTAACATTAAGATGGGAAGCTGGGACAACTTCTAATACTTCCTCAGTAACAACTCTCAAAGAACTACCAATCAGAAAAAAAAACAAAACAACAACAAAAAGCTTCAAAAATACTTCCTTCCATGAAATTAAGGTTGTCAAAAAATGACACCTGTCTGAGGCACACAACTGGCAACACTGCATTCACTAGTGACAGGTTTCTAAGCTCCAACAGTTTGCAGCTAGTAGGGCTTGATATAAAAAAACCCTTTAGGTCATGAGAAACGTTAAATTCCCCACCATTCATTGCTACAGAACAATCAGATCTTGCATTTGCCACCAGAAATGTAAAAAGAGTACATTTTAAAGTTTTAGAGGTTTCCATAAACCATTAGTTATAATTTCTCCCTTCAGGTTTGCACAGTTGGTCTCAGGGTAAACTTAAAGCACCTGGTTTTGCAGATGGCAAATTAAAAAAAAAAAAAGCCAACAGTATTCATACATTATTTTTTAACATTTACAGAACCATATGTCTGTAAAATATGTGGCATAAGCATACGTAAAAACCTTTCATCGCACATGTTTGGGAAACTCTACCCTACTTGTTTGTAGCTTCATTGCTCAGTAGAAAGTGTTCTGTTTTAAACTCATTCTGAGAAAGGTTTTACAGCATACCATGCCAGGCACAATATTTCCTAATATTTCCTATTATTTAGTTTCTTCTGTACAAGGACTCTTCTAAATAATACAGTTTGTATCATAGTTTAGTGGTCCCAAAGCCTTAGGCTAAAGTAAACATAACACATTTCTTACATCATATAAAGCTAACCCAAGCCTTACATTTCAGCCTGTGATAATTGATATATTATTAAGTTTTACGTAAAGCTCTCATCTTGCCAGAAATTTGTGTGAGGAGTTCAAGCTGTAGTCAGTCCAGAGTACCTGCAGGATAGATACAAACATACATGTCCCGAGAAATGCTAAGTTCCCAAAACCCCCAGGAACATCGATCTGCATTTCTAGCACAAGATCTTACTCGGAGTCAGGACTGTATTGCTGTGATGCTGCAGTGCAGAATATGAGAAACACAGAAGAGGGGAGTTTTGAATCAAAAGGCAAGCTGGAACACCTTATTTCAAAAGCAAACGAGATGAAGACACTGAATTCATGCTTCCCATTGCCACAGACGTGGTCTTATCTATGCTCTGTCTACATGATAATAACAATAATAATGGGCTGCTTGTGCAGATCAGAAACAACTCCTTTCTGGGAGTTGCAGTTTTCTCTGTAGCACTGCATATTTAAATATATTATATACTCTCTGTTAGTTAACTCTGCTGGGAGAATCTGGCATTCTTTCAATTTCCCAATGTTTGAGTGTTGGGGTACTTAATGTCAAGGTTGCATTAACGCAAACTTTCTGTATTCCTGGCAGAATTTTGTTCCAGCGAAAGCCCTGCTCATTCCTCCCAGTCCTGGGTGGGCATGGAGGGAGAAGGAGCGCAGAAACAAAACTAATGCGAGAGAGAAACAAGGTGTCTGGCATCCAGCTGGCTGGGTGGCTCCTCTTATACCCATTGATTATTTGCTCCTGTAATGGCATCTTGCTGTTACAGTCAGGGATCAGATTCCAGGCCTGGTACACACAGGCAGTGCTGGCCGTAAGGATTTCACAATCTCTGGACAGTAGCCAAATATTAATGCAAAAGAAGCAAACAGCCAAGCGAAGAGAGAGAGACACAAAGGATAACAGGACAGTGTAAAGAGCACTGTGTGGACATGTGGATCAGCACGAGCAGCTCTGGGGGGCTTCCAGATGAGCAACCCTGGAAGGGAGTGGGGTCAGCAGGAGAATATACCCCACAAACCTCTCTTCACAGGGAGCGTCCGTGTACCAGGGATGGACAGTCTGAGGGAACAGAATTGCTGCTTAAGCACATGAAAGCTGAGTGTAAGGCATTTGAAGAGTAACAGCAGCCTCTCAGAGGATACTAAGGCAGCGTTTCCAAAGAGACTCCCTTACGTGGTAATTGGAGCCAGAGCACGAGGCCAGTAGCACCATGCCAGAAGTACTACAGTTCCCAGCTGCCCTCAGAGGAAAAGATGACTGTATCTGAAATCTCCAGATTATTTACAAAACATACATGCCTTCAATTGCCACTGTAAATGTGCAATCAGTGATAACTGACAGCTTTAAGAAGCTAGAGGGGATTGTTCTGCTGCACATCCAGGGACCCTTTGCAACACTATCTAACTGCTCTGATGTCTTCCCTGGGTTTTATATGCCGAGCACTGAGCACAGCGTGGGCGGGTTTACTGTGTCTGATAATGGATTATTTGACAAAAGGCCAACATTAGCTGTGTGCTGACTCCAGTTGTGGTAAGGAAGGTACTAGGACTTTTCCAGTCCCACACACATTGCATTCACGGATAGCATGTAGCAGCAATTACGTTACACAACTTAAAAGCTATTAACTGAGTGGGGAAAGGGGGCCAGGAAGAAGAGGCACCGTGATTCTTGGATTAAGGCAGTCATCCCTAGAATACAGTTTCCAAGAGAAAGTTATTCAGGGAGAAGCTGAAGGGGATAACAAGTTTCAGTGCACTGAGGGAAAAAAGGACAAAGCCAATCATAACCCCAAATCCTGAGGGAGATTTTGGATTGCTAGGGGAGGTGTTCTCTGGTTTCTTTGGGTTTTCCTTGGACATTCCATATCCTAGAAATGCAGAGTGGTTCAAAGCTCAACCCAGAGAGACTGTTTGAATTTGTATCTTCCTTTAATTCTGTGCTGATCACTACAGCTGGACAGAACAACCAAACAGAGCTTGCCCTGACTTCTTTGTGCTCCAGTATCTGTGCATTCCAGCCCTATTTCTCTCACCTATTTTGTAATGAAGGCTGAAATCTGGGAAGGCACAGAGCACCCTTGGCTCCTATTGACTTCAGTGGAACCTGGTGGGCATTCACACCCACCTCATTTGTGTTCTGTTTTCAGATCTTCAGGGAAAGGCCATGTTTTCTGCTACTTGCTTGTCAAGAACCTTTAGCATCACAAATACCATGAACGGAAATTGTCCTAACTGCTGTCCACCTTCTCTCACATGCCAAGGTTTTGGCTCTGTACCACCATATGTCTCATGAGTAGCACAGTCATAAAATTAGACATTGTGTCTATGAGGTTCATAGAGCAGAGCTGGGCATTGGCTTTACCTCGCAAATCCCATGCAGACAAAAGTAGTATTAGCCAGGTGGACATACAAGCAGAATATGACCAGTGGGACACACAATCAAGCCGTAAAGGAATGGAAGGGTCCTTCAAGATACTCTCCAAACATTTCCAAACTGTTGCTTAGAAGCAGCAGAGCCTCAAGGCTTTAGACCATGCTACAAAGCAAAGGGGAGGGAATCAGGCGTATCACCTGCTACTTTCTCATGTTATGCAGCAGACAATCCTTTATGTTGTTCTGGGAATCCTCTTCCAAATGGGGGCTGGAAGGGGTTCGTATTTCTGAGGGTGCGTACTGTGATGCCCTGTATGCAGGTATCTGTCATTTCCTCATTACAGATTTTACACAAAGGTTCAAAAAGATCTAAGCGGACTACTCTCTTCCCCTTTTTGTTTGCTCCTACTCTAATTATCTTTGTTTCATAATTGTCCTCACTGACAGAATAAAAAAAGGTTGATAACTGCCAGTCCCACATTAAGCCATAAAAAAGCCAGGAGGAAGCAGAATTCCATCCAGTTGCAACAGCATCTACAAATCTTTGTAGCAATAGCAGAATATTTTGTTATGTAGCACGGATATTATTTGTCCTTTTCAAACAAAAAACCAAAAAGCTCTTTCCACTTGCTTGCCATATTGCTGTGCCTCTTCCTCCTGAAAACACAGATGTTCTTACCCCACCAGTAAATGGAAAAGGGGAAGCAAGACATAAATATGTATAATAAAATCAGAAACAGTCAGATTTCCAAGACTAAGCTATAGGCCATATTTCCTCTTGCTGTGACTAAGGAAACTTCGGCTTGATAGTCCCATGCACAGAGTGCCAATTATTCCAAGTATCTAAGATAAAGGCTGCAACTTTATTGAGGTTTTTCTTTTCTACAGCTCTTCAAAAGGTCAAGATTATTCTGTATTATATCCCCTGCCAAAAAGCAGTGTAATTAAAATAGATGGACAGATTTTAATTTGTAGCAGGCTTCTATTCACAATGGATGTCTGTTTAGGGTACTTGTTTAAAATCTGGTAATGTTAAATTTGTAACAACAACAAAAAAATAATAGAGTTCTGTGTTTTCATATAATTAATTTATAGCAAATGTTTAAACAGAGATTCTGTTCATAGCATATCCAACTACAGTGTATATATCAAAACCAGAGACCAAATTTTCACATTACGGCCTTAAAAGCAAATACCAAGGATGTGGCTGTATGGGAACATTGAATATACTTCATTAAAGGAAATGCTGTAGAAATAAAAGTGGCATTGGCTTCCTGTAGGTTTGATGGTAGCATGCCAAATTGCCATATGGGAGACATTGGTTTGGGAGTAAGTATCATCCCTGCCTTCCAGGCTGCAATTTGGAAACAACATGGCATTGGGGTGAAGGGTGGAGGTACAGAGGAGGCAAGTCTGACCCTACTTAAGCCCCCAGCAAAACTGTCATTGACTTTTGAGCATCCTGGAAGAGCCCCCACAGAGAAGCTGTATTTAAACTTCAATTCAAGGGGCTGTGGCTGCATACACAGTGACTCCTCCTGGCACTGCCTGGGACAATTGTCTGTGCAGACCTGCATGTTCCTGCAGTACGAACCTGCAAATGAGCAGTGCGGTTAAATCAGCATCCAAAGTCTTCCAAAATTAAGTAAAAGCCAAAAGTACTCTTTCAAATATAGCACCCATGGATGCTACTGGGAAATAGTTCCAACAAAGCAGCACTCCAGAAAAGCAAAGCATATCAACTGATAAAACTTGCAGCGATACCTTATATCCGAGTGTGTCAAGTTCAGCTGACCAACATGAAGCAGTCTCTCACAGGACAGTGGGTGGTCTCGCATAAGTGAGTTTCCTGTGTGGATGAACAGACCTTGTCTGCAGACAGGTACTGAGCTACTTGTTGTCTCCATGTCCATCATGTTCTTCTTCTCAGAGATCAAGTTACAATGATTGTAGCCACCGTTCACTGTCAAAAAAAAAAAAAAAAAAAATTGTAAGCCTTTGACTAAGAACCCTCTACGCTGACTACTATTTTGCATACTTGTTTAGGATCTCCTTGCAAAAATTCTTGTAAATGACATGACAGTGGAAATGAAAGGTTTCACAAGGAAGCAAAAATTAATTGCAAAGGAGTTTGGATCTGTGAACTACAGTCAGTTTGTTCCCCATTTTAAGTTTTGTGGCTATTTTACACTTCATAATCTAACTGAAAAAAACTTAGTCTGACAGCTTCCTTTCCTTCTGTGTATTTTTACAGTAGAGTCTTGCCTGTGTTAGATTTCGGAGTGGGATGTTTCAGATCCTTTTATTTTCGTGGAGAGGAGCTCTCTGAAAACAGTGATGTTAAGTCAAGTTTTTCTTTGCAGGCAATTATCTCTGTCATTATAACTTTAGATGGGCATTTTTCTACTTTACTGTCAGGTCAATAGTGTGAAAAAATGTAACTAATTTTGTTTCAATGTATACATTTAACTGTATTTTCCAAGTACACTATTATTATAAATGCTAATAATAATACATTCTGCTCTGGTGAATATTACATTTTACCAGACATGAAAAAACAGACTAGAGCTATAGCAATATTCTTCAGAAATATATATGTAACCACAAATTATAATCTAGCTAAAAAGAGAGGACAAAGGGGGAACTGAGAATTTAGATTGCATTGGTCAAACACTAGGAATTCCATTTAATTTAAAGGATATTAATTGGGTTCTTTATCTCTAATGAACTAGACAAATGCTCATAGATAAGCCTGTGTAAAAGTATTTGTAAGAAATCCAACCTTCAGAGGATAGCTAAAAAAGTCACAATAGCCATTTACCATCATTTTCACTATTGTATGTGAATCATGCTTTAAAATACTAGTGGAAGGTGTCCCTGCCCATGGCAGGGAGATTGGAACTAGGTCTTTAAGGTCCCTTCCAACCAAACCATTCTATGATTCTATGGTCTCCTTCTAATCTGTTTTTTTCATGGAGACAAAATGTAATGGTGTCAGATACTAATGGCAAGCATATTTCTGTAGTTTTCATACACAGTCTAGAAAGTAACTCCTTCACCCTTGGACCCAGTGCTCATGGTGATGGGTACTACAGAGCTAGACTGCACTGTAGTTAGTCCCTTCCCTATGGAGGCACTGAGTGTTGCACATTGAGGCAGAAAACAAATTCTGCAGTCAAAGTGACAGAAAAGATAAAGCCTCTGCTCAGTTTCATGCAAATCACTGATTCTCGTAAGCATCAAGGTTTGTTCTTTACTAAGGTGTTACAAGGCATGATTCATCTCACCGTAGTTTTGCTGTCTCTGAGTTTTACCCAGACAACGCCTATGTCATTCAGCCATCCCAAAATTGGTGTCTAAGATGCGCTCATGCAACTTCAGGATATGCTTTCCTCTTCCCCTTGACTACAGAAGGGGCCTAAACAAGTAACTTAAACTGAGTATCTGACTTTTAGACATCTGCACTTGCTCTCAATCAATTAATCACCCAGTCTGTACTGAGCTTTACACCTATATAATAAAGGTATTAGGTATTTCACAGGTATAATATTACATAATTAAACACATATCACGGTATCTAGTTAATTATATTTTCATTATATCAGGGTAAGTAAAACTGTACTCATGAAGTTTTGCAATCATCACTGCAGTTTTGTTACATCCTTTATGAAGTTCCAATCAGAGATTGCGCTCATTTTAGTCAGTTACTGCTTCAGCACAGCTCCTCAGAGCAAAGGTACCCCTAACATACATGAACCCCCATTTCCTCTCATGGACAGCTGCTAATGCTTGTGGACTTGACAGTGTTAGGTTTACATTTGGACTCGATGATCTTAAGGTCTTTTCCAACCTACAGGATTCTACAATTCTAATCCTACAGCAAATGAAAGGCAAGTGGGAGAGTCTAAGCTGCTGTGGTCCTCTAATTACAGTCAATGAATGTTTTGAAAGCAATGAGAATCACGTTCAGGGTTTTGGTGAGTATAAATGAGAAGAAACAGGTGACTGGGGAAGGCAAAAAAACCCCTCTGGTAACTGGAGAATTTGTGAAAGGGATCACAACACAAAAGTCCATTCTCCTCCACTGGCTGGGCTCCATGGCACCATTGTAATAGGGCAGACCATGGCAGATGAAGACATGGTCCAGGCAAGCATCCAGACCCAGAGACAAGAGTGGGTACATGTGACACCCAAATTACAAGTTTCACGAGGCATTACTGTGACATTTCCAGAATAGAATTCCCTGTTTCCAGTGAAAAGTTTTCAGTGCTTACTGATACATTACATTTCTTGACCATTTATTTATTTCATTTTTATTTTTTTAAGAAGCCAGAATCTTTAAAATTGGAAAAACAATACCGGGTTTTTCCTACTCAGCTCCACCACAATACCAAGGCACGTGATAAGTCTTAGGAAGTGTAGGCCAGTATTATTTTATACAAACAAAAAGTCCACGTAAGATTTTTAGGAATGATACATGAGATTTTAAAGAGAAACCAATTTGTATTTAAACTATACAAAATGGGCTGTTAGCCTTCTTCATGGTAATTAATACATATGTTCCAGTTATTTCGGATTTATATTCAGAGACCTGAATTCACCAACACAATGTGATTGTTCTGAATGACTCTGAAGAGACTAAGAAGCTGTACAGAAATGTAGCATCTTTTGGCCTGCGCAGGGCAGTCAGTTGTATTTGGTGGTTTTGGACTGAGGCATTTAAGAAGATCACTTTGGATGCCTTTCAGCTTATAGTGGGTGTTTGTGACGAGTAGCTCTGCCCTGCTTGTAATCATGACATAAATTATCATTATGTCCTTTGGAGTCCACAGCTCCACCAGGCTTTATTCCATTCCTATTCTGGCTTCATTGCATCATAATTTAACTCACTTCAGGGGTAACATCTACCTTAGCAAGACTGTATAATCAGACTTGTGGTTGTTAATTTGGATAGATGAATCACATTTTAAGGGTATCTAAATACACTGTTGAACACTGGTGAAATAAGTTCTATACACTTTTAAAGGCCACATGACCAAGAGAAGTTGGTAAATTGGTCATACTTACAATACCCAATTCACAGTTCCTCACTTTTTCCATCAGCAATGTTACCTGGAATATATTCAAGATGTATCTTCCCTCCAAAATACTGTGGATTCTTTAAAAATGTTAAAGATTTATACTGGACTTATAATAAAACCACTTTCTTTCATTCCTCAAATGATACAAGTCTGAAATTCATTAGGGCTTTCTAAATACACATTTTATCCATTTTATCATATTATCAAAACATAGAAACTTGAAGCTTCCACCAAAGTTCAGCAATACCAACTGTAGCACACAATGATACCTATTTGTGTGAAGACAGAGATTTCCTAGAATAACATGAACACTATCCCTGTGCTGTCAAAAGTTATTATCTTCTCTTGTAGTTGTCAAATCAGAAAATATGTTTTCTCCCTACAAAGGAACAGAATGTTTATGCTAAATCCATGAAATTATGTGCTTCAGCCAATCCACCGTACATTTGCCTGCACAAAGTACCTTACAGATTTATTAACAAGAGCTAAAAATTTCTTGCACAACAGTGCTTTGAATGAAGTTGCATCTGCATCAAAGCCTTCGGAAAATGGGCCCACCGCATGGCAGCTGGAACAATGACGGACAGGGAACAACACCAACAGCTCACTTTTGCTCCCCCCACCCCCCAGCAACTAAAACAAGAACCAAGAGATTGTGTCTGAACACAGACAACCAGCCTGTATGGTCAACTGTTCAAGCACATGTGAAAGCAAATTCATTGCCTTTGAAAAAAAGGAAAAAAAGTCTGGTTTACACCAGTGTAACTGAGAACAGAATCTGGCCCTTTGACAACTGGCTGTTTCATACAATATTAATATCACTGGCTGGCATACACAAGATTTAAGCATTTTCCATGTCTGGAACTAGATCTCTTCTTTCACTGGTATCAAGGGGCTTTTAACCTACATACTGTAACTTACCAATAACAGATGAAAAGAGCGCATACTCCCTGCCTTATACCAGAGGGTTCACCCTGCTTTCAGTAGAACTATAGCTATTTCATAAACTCATATAAAAAACTAATCCTAATTTACAGAGAGTAAATCTAATAAAAGCAGAATGGTTTCCAGAAGGATCTCATGGAAGTGGAATCCATCAAGGTAACTTTTGTCTTTCTCTTATTCTGTCCTACAGTTTTGATTTATACCTTTAAATGTAAATGCTCGTGAAGGGAACGGAAGAGGTTGATACAGTAGTGTGCAAAGGCTGCAATCAGGCAATTCCTTCCATATGAGTAATCAAGTTAGCTCAATTTTGGATATCTTGCTTCTTTCATTCTGGGGTAACTGACTTTGGGGGAGTTTTTTCTTGATTTATGCCAGATTAAGTCATGTGAGAATTGGTCCCATTGATTGTGATGAGGCTACACACCTCTGGAAGGACAGCTCATACTGGTCAGGATCTGCAGAGTCAGCCCTACATTTCTGGCTAGGGGTAAATTCTCGTAGAGGAAAAGGGAACATCTCCTCACAGAAAGGTAAATCTATGTAACAATGAGATCAACATTTAAAACAACCCTACTAAAGGGCAATAGCTCTTGTTCTTCCCTGGGGAACATCTCATTTACCATTCAGGAAGGCTTCACTCTTACTGATAAAATTAGCTACTAAGGCTAAGAAGATAAGAGCAAGAACTTACCAAAAGGGTAATTCTTCAACAATAAACACATGTTGCAGTGCTTTGGAGTTTACCTAATTAAGGCCAATGAACAAATAACTGAAACAATGTATAATTGAAATGACTCACATTCGAAATAGAGATAGATTTGAAATATTTGCCTAACATACTTAGATATCCCCAGAGCATTGTGGGTTTTGCGGCGAAGACCAAACTA